TTCTTTTAGTTGGGAATTTCTAATTGTAGAGTATGAAAGCTGTTACGTGTAAAGGTATGTGTGTTAAATTATTTTGAGGCTTTTTTATGTTGATGAATTTGAGAGTGTTGTATGTCTCTTATGAAGGACTGCTTTAAAAATCAGCTATGAATGAAGTGTCAAAGAGTATGGCTGTACCAATGTGTATTTAGAAACAACAACTCTAGGCTTATGTACCAAAGTTTGTCACAATTGAATTGTATTTTTTGATTTGTAAAATTTTAAGAACTTGATATTATGGAATATGCAGGTTACTGTTATGTGGCATTAGACTAAGAGATCACATTAGAAAATACACATGTTTAAGCCTATATATACAGATTTCAGTCTTTTGCTTTCCTGAAAATTACAGTTCACTGGTATGGAAATCAGTGTCTCTCTTAAAATTTGTTTACATTAATTATTAACTAGATTTTACAACATGAGTCTAGCAGAAAATATGAAATGATTAGCACTGTGCAAAACTTTGTCTGTACTTAAATATCTCAGATTTTGTATTTTTATTTCTGGAATAGGTACATGACAGTCTGTATGAAAACCTAGAGATTACAAAACAGCTGATAATATTATTGGCTTTTTTTCCCCCTCCACAAGAATTCAGCATGATATCTAGAAAAAATATAATTCTGTTACAAAGACGAATACATTGTTTTCATGTCTCATAGATGGAAGGCTAGAGTGAAAGCTTGTCATCAGCTAACTTTGACAAGCAGACTGGTACCCTCTGTTTCTGTAGTCAAGTGAAATCTCTGGCATACTACACTTTAGGCTCAGTTCAACCAGCCTTGTGTTTGTCTAGGATGTGACTTGTGTCTGAGTGCCCAGCTAGGCATAGTGTTTCATCTGTGAAAAGCACCCCCATACCAGACCACAGATGCCTCTTACTTGAATAACACTGCACATAGTACTTCATGATTGAGCAACATGGAGCACAAGGACTTATTCCTGTTTTGAAGAAAGAAGTATGAAAACCAATTTACTGATTCAGAATTATTAACACTAGTCTAGTCTGATGGCTGTTGATGCGAGTGTAGATCCTCAATTTCAAATTAGCCATTTCTTATTTATTTGTTTTAGGTAATAAAAAATAAATTTTGTGATAATTAACTCTAAATGTTTTATATAAAATGTTTAATATAACTTTGGTTCATTTTATAGATACTTGAAAATATTAGTAATTTTTTAAAGCGAATACCCACCCCAATCCCTAGCCCGTTGTTGTTGTGTGGGGCTTCGGAGACAGAGACTGAGACCCAATCCAGGGATCTCCTTTGCCTTGGACCTCAGCCCTCGACTCAAATAATTATGCGTGGTCTTTTCTGGAGGTCATGTCTCCAGAAACTAATCTTGGCAATATTGGTATGGGATTTACACTGGCCTTTGGGAGGAATAGTGTACCACTGTACTGCTACTGCATCATAATCAACAAGGCAGGCAAGCAGGTCATTTTCACAAGTCTTATTCTGACTAGTTCATATTCCAATCAGTCAGGGAGACAAAAACAGTTCCAGTATAAGTATTAAGAGAGGAGTGAGGTTTGGCAGGAATGGGACTGCCAGTGAGATCAGTCAGGGTAGATTGTGCATGAGCTCAGGATTCAGATGTAAATGTGACAAGGTGTGAATAATCGAAATGACTGCGAAAAGAAACTATGCCTACTTGTTTTTGGACACATTGTTGAAAGAGAATGGTATTGTCTGAGTATGGGGCTGTGGGGGAGAATCCCAAAGAATTAATCCCACTTGGCTGGGCCAAGGAAAGTACTCAAAAGGTTTGCAGAGGTGGAAGCAGTAGAAGGATGAGGGCAGGAGGAAGATGGGGTGGTGTGGAGTGAAGTAGTTCTGTGGGGGGAGGACAATATGGATGAAGAATAGTGACAAGGGAAAAGGAAGTAGACAATGAAGACGACTGTGCAGTGAGATGGAGTGGAGAATGTTGGGAGAGAGGAAGGGGTGCATTCTGAAGGTTGAGTAATGACCTGGGTGGGTGGTAGTATTAGTATCAGTGATCAGAGGAGAGGCAGGGATCCGAAAATCAACAAAATCAAATTTAGATTGGCTAGTTGATGAAGAGGTAAGCCTTAATGCCCTCAATAAGTGTAAATTATCTTCATTTTTGGCCATGGGGAGCCTGAATATAACAGGGAAAAGAAATGGTTTACCCCTCAGGGTAAGGGCTAAGTGAGTAACCCAAGGGAATACCATGCCCATGGCTCCCAGAGGCTGTCCATGATTGACACAAGCCAGCATAGCTCTCACAACTTAGGAATGGGACAGAAGGGAATGAAGAAGATATACAAGAGGAAAGGGGAGAAGAAAAGACCATGCAAAATTAGTTGAATTGAGGGCTGAGACCCAAAGTAGGGGCAAGCTGTAACCTTGGGCCCCAGTCTCTGTCTCCTAAGCCCTCCCATGACAACAACAAGCAAGGGATTGGAAATCATGCAAAACAGCCAACTAAAACTGATATAACAGCTGCAGTGGCATCTAGGAGAAATAGTGTAGCACTGTACTGCTATTGCATCATAGTCAACAAGGCAGGCAAGCAGGTCATTTTCACAGTCTGATCAAACCTTGTGGTCGACAGGGCAGTCATCTAGGGAGATGGAAAAAGTTCCGGTGCAAGTATTAAGGGAGCATGGGGCACAGATGTAACTATTGCAAAGCATGAATGATCTGAATGGCTGCGGAAAGAAACTTTGCAGACTTGCTTTTGGAGACATTGTTGGAAGAGGATATTCTCAGAGTAAGGAATGTAGGGGGAATCACAAAGAATTGACCCCACTTGGCTGGGCTAAAAAGAGTGCTGAAAATCTTTGTAGAGGTGAAAGTAGTAGGAGGAGTTAGGTGGGAGTAGTGTGGAATGATGTAATACTGTAGGGAGGAGGACGATAACGATGAAGATTAGTACTAAGGGAGGAGGGGGCAGAAAATGGATCAAGTTGACATCAAGCCTTGGGGATGGGTAGAAGTAGTGGTTGGAGCTGTACTAAAAGAGAGTCAGGGGTTGGGAAACCAGAGAAGCCAAAGTCAGACAGGCTAGTTGATGAAGGATCAAGCCTTAATGCCCCTAATATGGTTGTACCTGAAATATAAAGGGAAGAGAGATTGACCAAGGAAGTACTGTGACCATGGATCCCCTAGGCCTTTCATCCTTTCAACACATCTCTTACACCTTAGAAAGTAGCCAGTAAAAACCTATATTTTTGCAATGACAGAATAAAGCCTGTTGAACCAAGATTCTAACACAATCAGCAATATGATTTCATTATTCAGCGACTTGCAACTTTGTTTGAAAGTGATTGCAAGACTTAATTCCTTTTTCTGACATTTATTACAGATTTTGTAATTTCTGAAAATCATTGATGTCTTTTATTCACATTCTGTATTATACATCACTGTATATTATTTGTAACCCTATACTTACATCATCAAATTCCTATACTCATGTTATGAGAATTTAGGGAAAAATAAAACAATCAGTTCATAATATAAAAGTAAACTTTTATTTCTCAAGCACTCTTTTAATACAGACATCTGCATAAAGGTACACTGCAATGATTATCATGAATATCTTGAGGTCATACATATATATTTTTTGAAATAACTAGCTTTAGACTTTTAGTAAATACACTTGGCACCACTTTACCAGTCATTTTATCTTTGGAAATTATTGCACAAGAATCCATGGTATATTTTCACAATCCCATTCTAAGTAAACTACTATTGTATTTTCAGCTCTTGTTAAGAAAATGGCAAGCAATATACACTTTACTGCCAGTGTAGTACTTCTGTATTGAACAGGAATGTGTAATCATTCTCTCATATTATCAAAAAGGTACATTCTTTACTTTACTACAGTTCTGTGAAGGCTTTTAAATTTATGCATAAAAAAGACAATAGTATGTAAACATATATCTTAATTCTTTATAGTTTTGTATTCAAATTTTCATTTTGCATTTACATTTCTCTAAAGATTAGTATTTATAATGACTTGAAAAAATAAATTCTGTTAATCCATTTTCAGTAGCAATACTCATGATTCATAAACAAATTAAGAATATGAAAAAAGTAATTGTATATTTATTATTTGCATCTAAAAAATATGTTCTGCGTCAGTTGTCGATACTCTTTATTTCCCTCAAGAACATTTCCTATCACAGAATGTATATTTAAGTAACCTAGACATTAGATTCAAAGTCTTTCTTTAACTTGCTGTGTGGCTAATGTTTGTCCACTGAGTTGCTGAAAGTTATATTTACATATTGTAAACTGAATCAAAACAGTTACAAATAAGCAAAAATAAGTGATAACTTTCTGTCACTGTAGTGCAGGATTTCTTTTACCATATGATTAAACAAAGGGAACACCTCATATTTGTATCTTCACAAAATATATATATTTTTTTAATAGTATATTACTGCCTGCAATATACATGGCCACAAAGATTTTTCTTTAATTCAGAGTACAGTACAATATTAATATGCCAATTATTTAATGCATTTGCAATTAATTATTTTTCATTGTATTAAAAGAAGTCAATACTCAATGAAAAAAAAAAGCATAAATAATAACAATGGAGAGTATATATAAAATTACACAAAAGCTACATAAAAATATTGCCATTTCTATAATGTTATAAGTTGAAAAAAATCAAAGGCACTTTTCAATATTGTTCACTGTTACATTATCTTAATTTCAATTTTTCTTTTTCTATAGTATTCATAAAAAAAAAAAAAAAAAAAAAAAAAAAAAAAAAAAAAAAAAATCTATGCTTATTTCATATTCCAATAACATTTAAGAAATAAGGTCTGATTATTGGTGCATGCAATATCATATATGCAAGACTATATACCAATCAACAAGACTGAGATACATAATGATATATTGAAATATACACCATATACATGCATACATACATATTACTAAGTGATATGTATACTGTACATATGTATATACTGATGAAGTATTTCTCATGTATCTGTTTTTCTGTGTGTGTATGTGCGTGTGGGAATGTGTGCGTGTGGGAGTGTGTGCGTGTGGGAGTGTGTGCGTGTGGGAGTGTGTGCGTGTGGGAGTGTGAGCGTATGGGAGTGTGTGCATGTGTGTGAATGTTTTTACTCTCTGAACTCGAAATATATCATTACTCTCTGCAGTGACGTTAACAAAAGTAAGGACACTCATCCAAATAACAGTGCAATCTCTTGAAACATACTTTATCATATATATTGTATATGACACAACAAAACTTCTTAAATGGTAAAAATCATCAACCAAATCTAATAAACCTCTGAACAGATGCAAAACAAACTACATAAACAAAAGTCAGGACAATATTAAACTGTAAGATAAAGGAAAAGATGGTCTTACCCCAGTTACATAAAGATTTGCGGCAAGATAAGGAAATTAGGAAATTGTGAAATGATACAGTTTTGTGACAACTCAAAATATTTCAGTATGGAGTTGTAAACTATTAATCTTTTGAAAAACTATCAATCTAACACCTTCATTTTCTGATTGTGATATATATGTGATATTCCAAAATTTCTGGTTAATTTACTTAGAACATCAAATAAAATATTACTTTAACAAAGGTTTCATCAGTGGATCCATTTCTATCAAAAGCTACTTAAAACTACGTGTGTAAATTTTCCCAATTAGCGGAGTCGTTTATTTCTCTTCAAATAAACATTAAGTAACCTTTCATTCATACGTTACTTACATAAGAATGTGATGAAAACACCACTCTCCATTAAACAACCACAGGTAGTAGTAATAATGATGATGAGGATGATAAACACGGTAACATGATGATAACGCTGATGATAATGAAAATAATAATATTAATAATAACAATGCTACTAATGAGATTAATAATAACAATAACAGTAATAGTAATAATAATAATAATGATCATTACAATGATAATAGTAAAAAGAATAATAAGAACTAATATCATAATAAAACCAAAAATAATTTAAGTATCAATAAACACCAATCCTTTCTTGCGATATCTAACATTATTTTATGCCAATTTACAGATTTTACAAACATGATCAACTATGCACCAATATTCCTTTTCCTTGTCAAGTAATTCACGAGGGAGGCATTTGCTTGGATGACTATGGAATGCATATCTGAGACTAGCCTCGTCTAAAATAGTGTATTATCTCTTTTAATTAACTCTAGAAAAGTGATTTCTACTCTTATTAGTGAATGAACCTAAAGAATATATATTTTTTTAAGTTACACAAAAAGGTATTTTCAACTATTATGAGTGAATATACAGTTAATAAATATGTTATGGGTGATGAACCGTATTCATGTTGACAAGTGTGGAAAAGTATGAATGAGAACGAATATCTCTTGTATTGTGAAGATATTCGTTCTCATTCATACCTTTCCACATTATGGGTGATATCTAATTTGATGATTCTAAATGACTATAAAAATTCCTACTTTATAATGGTGAGATGTGAGGGAATTGCAATGGAAGTATCAAATGTTGAGCAAAACCTGATGTTTGGATTGTAAAAAATGACTTACAATGTGATGAAAATAATTTAACACACACAGGAACAATAATTAATGACAGCAATCTTTTTATTTAATTTTTCTTCATTTTAATTTCTTCACGGTTTTCAAGACATGCAAACAAACAATTCTCTCTCGAATTCTGTTAGTCCCCATGTGACTTATAATGAAAGCTGCTATATACCTTATACCACCCCCCACCGAAAAAAGAAAAGGAAAGAAGGAAACTAGAAGAAAAAAACAGATAAGAAGGAAAAAGTGGGATAAACAATAACTGAAAGTCAGCAGTGATAGTTTTTCTAACTTTTATAACCACTTTCACATCACTGATCTATTTACTGGAAATAAAAGGTTGGCATATGCATATATACCTTTGTTCAAAATTGAACTCACAAATCTTCGCAAACACAAAATCTTAGCTCATCTCATTCGATAGCTATTAAAATACCTGGAATGATATAAAACAAATATCTGTTTCTAGGTGCTTACATTATGACCAAGAAGGCTGCATGCAATAATATGAATTTCCCGGACAGTTGCATCACTTTCATGCTTTTGAAAGGTCAACAGACTGGATCAGTTGACTTTACTCTGTTGGAATGAACTTGTAATAAAGAAAAAATAATGGCAAATGAAAAGGTAAATGTAAATGTAAACAGGCACAGGGAAGTGGACTTTGATACACGTAATAACGGTGCCAATAAAAGGAAGAATGAAATAAAATGAAAAAGTAACTTTGGACGCCTGATAACCATAATTTCTTACAATATATTTCATTCTTACCATTTTCAGACTATATTTCTTATATTCAAGACCTTACTACAAAACCAAAAAAGAACACAGGATAAAATATGTAGTTTTACTTTACATCCATAAAAAACACACAAGTTTAATCTCATAGTTTACTCACACAACTCACACCAAATTTCTATCTCCTTTCTGAAATGTTTTAAACATCTCTCATTACATCTAAGGTTTGCATATGATATATTATTATTGGCATATAAAAAAGGCTACAACGGTTTCTTAAAAGATACTGGAATGATGAGCGATTAATGTATTTTCATGATACTCTATCCGACTTCCTCTTGTCCAGGTAGGAAAATAAATGTTACTTAAGTTTACTGACCTACTTACTTTAGGCACTTGGCGAAATATTGCCTGTGTATGGTGTGAAAATTATGACAGAGTTAAACACTTCACGAACCACAACCAACGGTAATAACATAATCATGACAAAGAGGAAACATGTTGCAAAATTTCAAAAGTTTTACTGAAGATGTGAATGTGTGAAAGTTTTAGAAAAGGTCCCCAACTTGAAAAGAAAAAAAAGAAAGATATGAAAATCAACTTCAAAAACGAAAAGTGTCATGCTGTACAACCATGAAAAATCTGCCAATGTAACACACAAACCCTAATGCATGTATAAGAAGCTTAAGAGACAGAGTTGGCATAAAACCCTTAAACATTTTGATTACAGGCATACAGTCAGAAAAGACCTGGATAAGATTATACAGTTTTACTTCCACTGCATTCATTTTCCAAAAAGCCTCTGTTTACTTCCAGCATTAAACTAACCATATTATATTATCTTTAGGCTTTTGTGGCTGCCTTCCAATGCTAAAATGATCCTTTATCATAATTCAACTCCAAGTGTTCCTGAGATCTGCTCCAGATAGTGACTTCTTAATGGTAGGCCATAAATTCTTTCTTTATCTATTGCTGCACACTGGGAAAAAAGAGAAACAAATATTACTGAAATACAAAAAGCTAATGCAGACACAGACACAAACATTTAATCATTAAGGATAAAAAAATCTGCGCAATGACAACAACTACTGCTTTCTACTTCCATATTCATTTCACACCCAGATCTAGACACACACACACACACACACACACACACACACACACACACACACACACACACACTCACTCACACACACACACACACACACACACTCACTCACTCACTCACTCACTCACACACTCACACACTCACTCTCTCTCTCACAGGGTTGGAATAAAAATGACAACTTACAGAAGCATGAGAAGCATTGACTTGTATCACAGTTTCGGCATTTTGGAAGAGGTCAACATCCCATCTCTTCTTACGCAGCCAAGGTCCCAGGGGCAAGATGTGGCCCTCGGTTGTGAACATGTACTGGTGAGACTTCAAGTTCACTGGGTTGTCTATGTCGAAGAGCTGAAAATGGAGGACGTTTAACCATATGGTGATGGGGCCTGATACATTTGAGAAGTATTATTACGCAATAGTCTATACTTTGGGCTAGGCCTAAGTTGTGTACAGCTGGCCCACCTGCTGTGAGTCCTGATCTGCTTACATGTCATAAGCTGTTACGTCACGACAAATATAGCAGTACCCGTCACCAAGGAGTTGAATGAACAATATTATCTTGAACATCAATTTTCTCATTTATGCCCTAAAAAGTGCACATCTAAATATAATAAGAAAAACATTCTTTCACAGGAAAATAAAAGTTATAATTTACATATGCCTCAGCCACTTCTATCCTGTCAAGCAAGAAAACTAAATATCCAGTAAATCTCTCTCTCTCTCTATCTCTCTCTCTCTCTCTCACAACACACATAAAATACAAACAAACAAAAAAAGACCTACAAGGTACAAGTATTTGCAAGTCTCCGAAAGGAAGAAGGACTCCATGCGATCCTCAAGTGTCATGTCAAGCACTGAGTGGACGGTAGCATAGCCACACTCTGCCCGCGTCAGGTTATTCAGCGATGTCAGGATATCTCTGCCCACATGTAGGTAGAAAGGGTTGCGTGTGGCCTAAGAAGGAATACACAGCCTCGTTATTTTTAACACCTGTATTAACACATCTTGTTATACTTTAAGGACTTTTATCAATATAACTTTTATCCTTTGCAACTGGCTGTTCTCCTGCTTTACTGCACGAGAACTTGTAAAATAGAAGCATTGTCATACTTGCAGATGCATAGAAATAGTTAGTGATAAAACAGAAACTGTTCAAACTCAAAGAATCATTATATAATCCATATAATAAAATGATCATGATGATTATTATAAAAAATGAAAATAATAATAACAATTATATAATTAATATAATATAATAACCATAAGAATAGCAATAATGATCAATTAAACCATGCAACAATGATAATCATTACCCTTGGAAACCCTTACACATCCCTTCTTACCTTCAGTGTATACTTTGTAAGTAATTCTACATTCCAAGCACTATCTACCTATCTAAAACTATCTAGCTATAACAATTCCTGGCAAAACACTATCTCATTCCCCTTTTCCCCCATCTCTTTTTGTATTATTTTTCCTTCTTAGCTTTTAATCCTTGGCTTATAAAAGGAAAGACGTTAGAGAAAGGACAATATTTACCTGTGTGATAGCAAGCAAAATCTAAGGCTTCTCCTACATTCCCTTCCAATGCTACTGAGACAGCTTGCTGTCAGAAGGCATAGAGACAAGGTTAATTTTTTGCTTAAATGAATCCATTAGATGGAAAGAAAAAGAAAATAGAAAAAAAAGTGACTTCTATGTTTCTTTGAGGTGAGTAAATATAGTCACACACCTAATACAAACATTTTATTAGACACCAAAAACAGCATGTCAAATAAATCTTATCTAATGCTCTGGCTCATACCCTTCTTAATAATCAATGAAACCATTTTCAATTAATAACACAAAAGTTTGGAAGGAGATATAGAAGAAAATAGTGGATAGCAAAGATGGCTGTTTCAGAAAGTGAAATGGAAGCTTAGAATTCTATGAAAACACATACAGAAATCAAGAGGAATACTAAACCATACAGAAAACCAAATGACTAGCAAGACATTATTAAAATTCTTAATCCAAGGCAGAAAGTTGACAGGGACACCTGAAGAAAAACGATGTACAGTCACTCAAGTAGCTTGAACCAATGGTGGCTCAACAAGGATTCAATTAGTGGGCCTAACTAACTTATCCTAGTATCCCCATTCCTTGAACTTTCTTAATCTTTTTTAATGCTATTAA